TTTGCAAACTGAGTGTAAAGAGTATATTTAGGGTCTATGCTCTTGCTTTTCATTTTCCTTCTTTCTGTGTTTCCCCTCTTTGTAGCTAGAATTCCTTTTCCTGTGTCAATTAAATCATCCCCATCCAATAACTAGCTCCAATGCCAACCCTTTGGGAAGGCTTCAAGATAAGTACAGCTTAAATTAAACTCTCCCTTTCTTTGACTATCTTCTGCAATCATTATCTGTAGTAGGCATTTAGTATTCTTGTTTCTGCAACAAAACCTTGCACCCACAGTATGCAGCATTGTGTTGGCAATGTAGAAAACCTCAGTAAGTAATATTCAGGTTCAACTCAATACTTAAGGGGGAAAACAGTTATTGTTTTAATTCATTAAGTTAACTTTCACCACAAAATCTTCAGGGATTTCTATCTTCCAGCCTTATATTTTCTTCCCATTTTGCTTTTAATGAATTAATCACCATAACCTCCCACTGTGTGTTTAATTACTGTACTGATTGCTTACTACATATGTGATGTGGAAAAAATACAAAACTTAAAAGCCAAGCACTCTCATTGACCTCCCTGGGGATAAATATCCAGAAAATATCCAGAAAACACATTTAACTCTACATGTCACAAGTGCCAGGTGAGTAGTTTGGATAACTGTACAGCCCCTGAGGTCCCATGTGAATGGGCACTATACCTCATGCCAGCAACAGCACTTCCTTGACCTGAGACCTTAACCTTTGGTCATGTGCTTGGAAGACCCTTTCTTAGCACTATCTGTGTTCATTTTAGACCTAAAATTCCTTTATATTGCAGGACCTCTCTTAGAAAAATCTTTCCTAAGCATGCATTTGTTTTCTCTTTTCTTCTCTGCCATCCTGTAGAGTCATTGTCTGCTCCTCTCATAAAATTTTACACAGTTTACCTAAATTGCTTTTGGGGCCTTCTCATGTCCTAACTTGTAAACATGTATTCATTTCCCAGTTTTTATTGTTTAAAATAGAGGGTTTTTTTGTTTTATGATGTTAACAAAAACATGCATACTTTTTAGTACAGAACTTTTAGAAAGTGCTCATATATAAAAAAAATCACCCTATATAAGCATCTGTTATGTGCACCTCTGTGTCAAGCCATCCAGAAGACAGTGGATCAGAGAGCTGAAGACCTGCTCTGCCTTTCAACTCATGGTCCAGTTAGATGGTAGAGTCAGGAGCTGACAGGTGGAGAGAGTGCCATCTAATAATGAAGCATTCTAGAATAAGGGAGAGCCTTGAAAAACAGATGGGAATTCATGGGAATATTAAGCCCCTCCTGCTTTACTTACCTGGATGTTCATCCATGTAATTTCTGAAGTTAATAAAGAGCTCTATAACAAATATATTTACCAAATTACCTTCCTAGAAACAGGAGGTGATTTTTGAATTTTAAATATATGACAAATTATTACCGTATATTATAGACAATTCAGTGTAGTAGACTTTCTTAAGTGTGATGCAATTTTTTAAATTATAGGGAGGTTCCAAAAATGTTGGTTGAGAGTTCCATATCTGATTGTAAGGCATTCCCAGGTTTTTTAAGGACATTATGTTCACAGTTTGCAGTTCATCTTATCCATTATCTTATTCTCACAAATGTGCCATGTTTTCCCTTCAGAACAAAACACACAGATGGATTAAAGCACACAGTATCTCCTGAGGGCCCAGAAAGAAAATAAAGACTTGTGCCTTATATTTTAGTTAACTTCACTTTTTACTTATATTCTATTTTATGTGCTTGTAACACATCTTATATGCTAATATTAAACAAATATATACATGTACACACTTATAAGCAGATATACAAATAGGGGAATATGTCATCCATAATTATTACTCTCTGTTGGGCTACATTTGGTTGTAAGAGAAAACCTAACAGTGACTTAGATACATTATTCTTACTTGTTTTACCTGTGTGTAGATTATTTTAGAGTTAGTAGAACAGCCTAGTAATTTTATTAAGTGATTTTTCTATCTTTCCATCCATATATTTGGCATGTTGCCATACTAGCATAAAATTTCACCTCATGGTGGATTCTATTCACCTTGCCCTATGCCTGTAATTTTAGGTGAGTAGTGCTGTATGGGTGTCATATGGTGAAATGCTCAGGTGAATGCTAAGATTTCAAATTTATTTGTATTAGTTTGTTCACCTATAGAAAGATTAAGCCCAACATTCCATTATTTATTATATTAAGTTATTAAACTAATAATGCCATTTTCTTTTAATCCAATCCATTTGTTGTGAAATTTAAGCAGGTGCATTTAAAATGATTTTGAGATTCTCTAAGCTATGTAAATAGAAAAACATTACATGTTAAGCCTGACAATCTCTGTAGTCTACCAGCTTGGATGATTGCAGAGACATTCACTTGGATCTCTGATCCTCTGATAATGACAATGTGATGGGAAAAACAGTTGGTAGAATGGGGAGGTAACCACTGGACATAGTAGCTGTCAGATGAAACTAATTGATTGTAATTGCTTTGCCATTGTATTGCTCTTGGAGCCTGTAGTTTGTCAAAACCACTGATTATAAAGGAAGGATCTCACTTTTTATGCTGTAGGTTATGTTAATGAAGAGCTGTTTTTTAGAGGAAATGATCAGTGAATATCGATAAACGGATAATAGGAAATTAAAGGAAAACTTAACTAGATCATGAGTTAATATACTTCAGCAGTCAGAGTAGCAGTCAACTGTGTGGTGTTTCATACTGAATCTTTTGCTTGCAGCTCTTGGGTTTAAATATTTCCCATTGAAAGAGAGATTAAGTCTGTGTAACTCTCTGATACTTTCTTGAATAACAAATCTTCTCTGTAGAGATCTCTTGGAAAACAGAAAATATGTCTGTTTTACAGGGCTTTCATTTTTTGATGAAATAATAACAGGCAGGTATTTTGAAGTGGAAAAAATAAGTTCCCATTGTATCACCAAGAAATTCTATTAGAAGTGAATTTTTCCAATGCTCACAGAATATGAGTAGTATATGAGTTAGCATCTATCTGAATCTAAAGGCAATGTTTGCTTTTGTAATATTAATCAATTTTAAAATGAGTATACTAAAATCATAACATTAATATGAAATTATATCTAACATTTTGTAGGATAGGCATGAATTTTCATAGGATTGCAATGTCTTTAATGATCATATTTTTCATAGTGGCATTTAAACTGTTAGTGATATTAGAGTGATCACATTTATTAAAGATTTTTTACTGAGCACCAATTCTGATTAAGGCTTAACCTCTGTTTGGCCTGAAGGAAGCCACAGACTAAAGAAACAAATAAATGTGAACAAATGGCTACTTGCAGCAATAAATGCAATGATGACAGCAGTAAAAGGTGCTGCAGGACACAAGGGAAAGATGATGGTGGCTTTGAAGGATTTTTGGGTGTCTTCCAACAAGGAAAAAGATGGTCCTGGAAAAAGGGTCAGTGTAATGGTTTCTGGTATTTGGGGAAATAAAGTAAGAATGAGAAATTAAGTTGTGTGTTTTAGTGTACAAGAAGATGAGATCAGACAGACAAAAGTCCATGTGGTCTATGTCCTTCTTTGCTCTGTTGAAGAATTTTGAGTTATTCATATAGGAAGAGTGCCCGCTAAAAAGTGTTTAGGTTGGGAGGACATGAGTGAATTTCCTGTTAGAATAATGCCTCTCATTCTGGATGGTGATCAGAGGAACAGGCTCACTGTGACCTCCAGTTAGTAAACAGGTGCAATAATCTGTGCTATTGAGCATTATTAATATAGATCTATGAAAAGGAAATTAGAAGAGCTTACATGCCAAATCATTTATTTATCTTTGACTTTTAAGTATATTTTTTATTGAATGTCACAGTGGAATTGGTGCTAATAGTTGCTTAAAACTCTGAAGCTGGAAGGTCTACATGTGGTTTTAGCATCTGTTCCTAGCAGACAGCACATAGTTATAGATTTGGGAAGTAGATGTAGACATAGAGCTTAATTGAAAAAATGTAAGTAATTATGATTTTAAAATACATGTTTACGATAATGCTAAAAGTCACAATAATTTGGTCCTGTTAAATAATTACCAGAAAAAAATTCACAAAGAGATTCTATTTTAAAATTTGGAACATCTGCATTTTAATTACAATACAAAAGGAGAAACTAAAGGAATAATTGGCTTGGCTATTAGCCAATTATAGTTGTAACAAAAAAGCAAACATAAACAAGCAAAACAACCCATAGAAACTGACATTGGTATTGTGACAGACAGTCACAATATACATTGATCAGATGTTTAATGACATTTGGCAATAATGAATGGAGGGGGACATTGTTTCAACCCCTCATACATGTTTGCTAAAACTGAAATTAATGAAAGCTGATTTGACTGCAGGATCACTCAGCTTTTACTGTGTATCATCAGATAAGGCATGTCTAGAGTGATTTCAATTGTTAAAATCTAGTGAAGGAATAAGGCAATTGAATACAGTGATAGTCTTAGTTCGGGCTGCTGTAACATAGACTAGGTTATTTACAATAAAAAAAAAACAGAAATTTATTTCTCACAGTCCTGGAGTCTGGGAAGTTCAAGATCAAGGTGCCTGCAGAGTCAGTGTCTATTGAGGTCTTCCTGATCCATAGAAGGTCATCTTCCTGCTGTGTTTTCACATGACTGGAATGGGCAAGCCAGATCTGTAGGATCTATTTTATAAGGGTACTAATCCCATTCATGACCTAATCACCTCCAAAGCCCCTCATATCCTAATACCATTACATTTAGAATTAGATTTCAGCAAATGAATTTGTGGAGGCACAAACATTCTGCCTATAATATGGTCATATCCAATTGCATTTTTTCACTACAGGGAAGGGTTTATCCTGTCTGTCTAGCATTTCCAAGGTCAGTGCCCATGAGAGGGCCTCAAAGCACAGATTCAGACTAATAACAAGAGCTGGTGGTGTCTGAATGCACTATTGACAGCATTTCTCTGTGTGCTTCCCTGACAGATACGACGACATATTCCACTGAGCGATCTGAGCACTTCAAACCCTGCCGAGACAAGGACCTTGCTTATTGTCTCAATGACGGCGAGTGCTTTGTGATTGAAACCCTGACTGGATCCCATAAACACTGTCGGTAAGCGCAGCCACTGGCACTAAGGGCAGGCCCCTGAGAGGCCTGGTTGGGGAAGGGGATGTTAAGCTCTGAGAATATACAACGTGATACACACAGTCCAGCTATTTGAATGGTGGAATCAAACGTCTTAATTTAAGACAGGACAAGGCTGATATCTTTGGTATTTGAGGAAGATAAAACTAAGTTAAAATAAACAAGATCTGAGTTTTACCTGACCAAGTAAAGGGTGATTTACTTTTAGAACTTAATAGAAATAATTGTTCACTCACCTTAGAGCCTATAATTTTGGTGTGGGTGTTTTGGTTTGGTGTGGGTGAGACACATGTGCTCATCTCAGAAGCAATCCCTTCTTGGAAACCTACAGGCTGCGACATGACAGAGAACACTGCTCATCTATGACCTAACATCTCAATGTTTATTATGTAAAAAATCTCAGGGACTGTTGCTGAGTCTGGAGAAAAATGCATCTAATTTTGTTTTTCCTTCATTTATTAATTTCAGGACATTCTTTTTAACACCTCTGGTGAAGGAACACTCTCCAGCAAGATGTTGTAAATGAGATCATAGTTCTGTTATGTTCTATATAGAGAACTATTTAGGGAAAATTCCCAGTAGAGATCAGGAAGGTGTGTAATTGGTTTTTAGAGACTTAAGGTTATATAACTGTTAAAAATAAAAACAAGTAGAGATGAATGGTATACCTGCAGACACTGCAGCTTTAAGGCTTCATAAAAGAATCAAATTAGCATCTGAAAAATATTTCCCACCAAGCTTTTACTTCCAGCACTATCCTGGTAATTTGTTTCTTCTTGCAATTGTATATGCTTCAGTGATGGTATATATCCACACCCTTTTCCTTCTCTTTACTTCTTTTTACTTTTTACTTTTTAGCTGTTTTACTTTTCACCTTCTCAGATGACACAGCTATTAAATTAATTATTCTGAATTATGAAGCATGGAAAATTATGACTTTTTTTCTCTCTCTATTGCTATTATAAAACTGTAGTCCATGTTTTATTAAGATGCCACAAAGAAATTCATTATATTGTTATGAAATTAGAGATGTGTTGGCAAATCCTGCCCAGCTCTCAGTACCAACTTTACCCCAGGGAGGGTGGGTTGCCACAGTGGGCAGTCACAGGTTAGGAAGAACTGATAAGGAACAGTAGCAGATCTCTGTAAAAGTTACCATACCTCCTGTGTCAGGTTAAACAGCTGTGAACTTTCCACCTTGCATGGTGGCTTTTGTGTGGCTTGGGCAGTGTCATTACATTTGCCCTATTTATAAAATGTACCCCATTTCTGTTCTCTGTGAACTTGGATTGGGGATGAAGGGATTGGGAATGGTTCTTCCTCATATTCCTCTTCTCTAACTACATTTGTTTGGTCAGCACAGACACAGATAGGAAATACACAAGTGACTTGGAGACCTCAGGGGCAAAATCCAGAATGAGCCACCCTTTCCAAGTATGAAGTGCTTGCACATTCTTACAGGTTCTCAAGCACTTGTTACAGGTACCTGTGCCAATTCCATGGGATCATAATGTGGAAGTGGGCAATGGAATCAATTAAGTTTAAATTCCTAATCAGTTGATGATGGGATAAATCAGAAGTCTTACCTAGAGCATGGATTTTTATGTACCGCAAGGAAGAATCAGATCAGGCCCCACAATGATATGCAGGCTGGTATGATTCATTTTTTCTAAAACCGAGATGTTGAAAGGAATAAAATAATTCTTATTTTTCAACATTCTCTCTCATTATGTTCTCTATTATTTCATGGGCATATTAATTTGCTCGGGCTGTTGTAGCAAAGTACCACAGAGTGGGTGGCCTAAACAACCAAAATCTATTTTCTCACAATTCTAGAGGCTGGAAGTCTAAGATCAAGGTATCAGTAGGATTGTTTTCTTTCCCAAGGCCATGAAAAAAGGGTTCCCTTCCAGACAGGCCTCTCTCTCTTTGGTTTATAGAAATGACTGACCTTTCCTCATGTCTTCTAATTTTCTTCAGTCTGTATGTGTCTGAATCCGGGTTTCTTCTTCTTTATAAGGATACCAGTAATATCGGATTAGGGTCCACTCCCTATTTTAATGTAATGATCATAGTTTAACTTTACCTCTATAAAAACGCTTTCTCCAAATATGGTCACTTTCTAAGGTACTAGAAGTTAGAATTTCAGCAGAAGCATGATTTGGGAGACACAGTCCAGTTTATAACAATGGATCTCAGGTCCACATAAAAAATCTTTTGTTTTTGTACATATGTACATCCATTTTTTTTAAACAAACACAAGCAGAGATATCTATGGTTTAACTGGAACAATGTACATGTAGAAAAATTTTGACCATTTGTCTTAATATTTTTGCATATTTCATCATAGTCAACCTGTTATTTAACATAGTCACAGCATAGTTAATCGTGACAAAAGAGCAGCCTAAGACAGAGTTGTAACTCGAGTAGCTTAATAGAGACCTATAAATCTCCTATGTGTGTGCATGAATAAATCACACATTGCGTGTGCCTGCTATTCATCTCCCAGGCTTTGCAATGAATAAAAGGCTTGCATTTGTTCCTGCATCAGCCACTTCTAAGATTTCCAATGTGGTTATTAATAATGTGCCATTTGTACAGCACTCTATTTAAGTAATATGTTTCATTCATTCTTCTCCTTTTGACAACTGTTTATTAACCACTTCCTATCACCAAGACACTGTTGAATAAATACATACAGAAATTAACTTAGGAATTAAATGGTACTGTGTTTTGTAATGTACTTGGAATAAGTGAAATTCTTCATTGTTAGAAAACAGAGAATGCAAAGGGAAGTATTTTTGCATGACTGGCATGCTACTGGAATATCTATAATGATACATTATTAACTGGATTACAGTTCCAGTGAAATGAAACACAATGTAGTATAACAGAGCATCAATATAAAGGGGTGTAAGTGAATCTAGCTCATTAGTTTACTTTATACGGGTCTCAAAAGATTAGACATTCACATCTAAGATTACATTTTCTAGTATTTTAAAAATAAATTGTAATACTATGATAAATGGATTCAAAACTTTTTTCTATGTCATAAAAAAAAAGTGATCATACTTTTTTTCTGTCTATAGGCTAAGGAAAAATAGTAGCAAAACTATTTAGATTATCCCTGACAAAGATTCTGGAAGATATACTAAGAAATGTGAACATTGCCAATCTTGGGATAAGGGAAGTTTCACATCTTTCTGTTTGTTATTTTCTCACATTTTAATGTATTTTCAGATCTTTCAAAAATCCATGTATAGTTAGAAATTATAGAGAAAACTAATGAAAACTTAAGGAGAATACAAAGATTCTAAAAATAACTGGGCATTATGCTAAGTGAAATAAACCAGACAGTGAAAGACAAATAATCATATGACCTCACCTATAAGTGGAACCTAATGAAGAAAACAAACAAATGAGCAAAATAGAACCAGAGACAGGGAAATAAGGAACAAACTGACAATGACCAGAGAGGAGGAGTGGGGGGGATAAAGGGGGAAAGAAGGGGAACAGTCTAGTGAAAGAACATGTATAAAAGACCCATGAACAAAGACAATAGGATGGTGGTTGACTGTGGGAGTGGGGAGTGGGCAGGGATAGGAAGAGCAACAGGGGAAAAATTGGAATAACTGTAATTGAACAATTTTAAAAAATAAAGAAAATTTAAAAAATAACTGGGGGCATGGTGGGGTGAAAATGGAGACAACTGTATTCAAATAATAATAAAAAATAACAGCAGAGGAAATTTAAAGAACAATAGACAAATAGGGAAAGTTTATCTTGCTCAATGTAAAATATACTATAAAGTCAGAGATTGTTAGGTGACCGATTAGTCTGGCATACAGAACCTGGCATACAGTGAAACTTATTGTAGAATAAGAGGAGGTTCATAAATAGGAGGAAAACTGAGAAACTGATCATTGAATAAATTTGGTTGACTATCAGTTAAAACAAGTCAAAATAAGATTTTTACTTCCTTCTCTATACCAAAACTTATTCTTAATGAATTCAGAAGTTAATATAAATAATAAATAAATAAAATCTTAAGGGAAACAGTAAATAAAATTACATATTTATTTATGTCAGCAACTGAAAAGACTTCTTGAACCAAAAATTACCAGCATTGTCACAACATTGACACATTATTTTTTGAATATCAAAAAATTGATCTGAATATTGCCCTGACCTTGAGCAGGGTGGCTCAGTTGGTTGGGTATCATCCCACAAAGCAAAAGATTGCTGGTTCAATTTCTAGTCAGGGCACATACCTGGGTTGCTGTCTAGGTGCCCTTTTGGGGCAGATGTGAGAGGCAAGGGATTGATGTTTCTCTCCCTCTCTTTCCCCCTCCCTGACCCTCCCTTTAAAAATAAATAAAAGCTTTAATTTTTTTATCTCAGTATCAAAATTAAAAGAGATAAACCATCAGTAAACTATACAACAAATATGGTAGAGAATTAACATTTTGAAGACGTCATGTAGTTGAATAAGAGCAACATTAAAATTAATCCTCAACAGGAAAAATGACAAAGGAGAACATACTCTTCTTTTTAAAATGAATACAAAAAAAATAAAGATGAAAAATACACAGCCTCACAAAGAAATGTAGATAATTTTTTGTTGGCTACCCTATTTTTAATGATTTTTAAAAGCAAATACTCAGGTGGGGATTCAGTAGAAACATAGTCACCACTTGAAAAGTACATATTGTTAAATATCTTCTGTGGGTAATATTCATCATGTTTCAAAATCTTTATATTGTTTCTAAGAATTTAGCCTATAAGGTATACATGTAGATTTATTTATAAGAATGTTCAACACAGGTGTATTTGTAATAGAAAAAAAAAAAGAAGCCTGAATTTAGATGTCTAGACAATTCAAAATGTTTTAAGGACATGAAAATGCTTATTTTTTGTGTGTAATGTATGTAAATCAGGTTATAAAATTACAGAGTCAAATATACAAT